ACAGAGAGAAATAGGAGACATTGAGATAGATAGATAGATAGATAGATAGATAGATAGATAGATAGATAGATAGATAGATATAAACGGAATTAAATAGATAGATAGATAGATAGATAGATAGATAGATAGATAGATAGATAGATAGATAGATAGATAGAAACAAACTGAAATAGCTAGCTAGTGGGTGAAATATATAGATATATAAGCAAATACTGTTTATTTTTCTCCTTGTCGTATATTTTAATAAAAAATCATTTGTTGCAATAATTTTTCTTTTTATTTCTAAGGGATTTTATCCTGATTCTCTCCTTTCAGTAAACGAATGATTTTCTTTATTTGAGCTGTGTATATTTGCATGTGTATGTATGTATTGTACACGGGTCTTTGTGTGTGGTGTCTCTGTGCCTGTGCGCGTGCGCGCGACAAGCAATTCGTTCTTATCTGCAAAGCCATCTGTCTATCTATCATCATGTCCCACCTCGCAACAGTAAAGCCCATAGCTTTGTTGTCTTCCACAAATGTTCAAACATTCTAACTCCGATCGCATCAACGCTTCTTTCGTCTCGCTCATAAATAAATCATCGTAAAAGCAAAGCGCTTATGAGCAATAAATGACATTTCGTTAAAACCCTCAGCCAATTTTATGTCGATAGCATCTGTGATTGCATTAGGCACGCTCAGATCGCGGAGACATCTTGGCTCAGAGCAATCCACTCTTAATTTCTCTTCCTCTTTTCTTCACATCCCTTTTTCATTCTCTCTCCTTTTCTGTCTTCTTTGATTAAAAGGTTTCCATGTCTCTCATTCTACTGTTAATTGTTTTACTTCCATTTCCTCTCTTCCCCCCCTCTCTCTCTCTCTCTCTCTCTCTATTTTAATTAATCTCTCGCCATCTCCTTCGATTTTTCCTCCTCTAATTTTCTTTTCTTTCATTCTCTCTCTGTTTGTCTTTTTTTCTTTTTTCTTTCATTCTTTCTTTAATTCTTTCATTCATCCATGATTGCTTTCTTTCTTTCTTTCTTTCTTTCTTTCTTTCTTTCTTTCATTCAATCTTTTTTTCATTCTTTCTTTCTTTCTTTCCTTCTTTTTCGTTCTTTCTTTCATTCAATCTTTTCTTCATTCTTTCTTTCATTCATTCTTTCTTTCTTTCTTTCATTCTTTCTTTCTTTCCTTCTCTCTTTCATTCTTTTTTTCGTTCCTTCTTTCATTCAGTCTTTTTTTCATTCTTTCTTTCCTTCTTTCTTTCTTTCTTTCATTCTTTCTTTCTTTCTTTCTTTCCTTCTTTTTTCGTTCTTTCTTTCATTCAATCTTTTTTCATTCTTTCTTTCTTTCTTTCTTTCTTTCATTCTTTCTCTCTTTCATTCTTTCTTTCCTTCTTTTTTCTTCCATTTTTCTTTCTTTCGCTTTCACTTGTTTCTACCTTACAGTTGAAAACTGGCTGGTTTCCCCTTTTTCTTTCTTTTTTCCTCTCTTTTACTTATATCTATCTATGTATCTATCGATCGATCTATCTATCGCAATTTGTTCATATCAATCTACCTATCTCATGCGCTTCGTACATATCTATCTCAATCCGTTGTTCTTATCTCTCTCTCTCTCTCTCTCTCTCTCTCTTCCTCTCTACCACTTGATTGATCGATATATCTTACTTTGAGCCTGTCTATCATTACCCTATTTAAAAGATGAGAACATCTATCAACTGATTACAATCAGATATGTTTTTTTTCCGGACCGATCAATCGTACATATTGGTTGTTTATTGATTGAACGTTGTTTTATCTCCACAGAAATCAAGATCAAACTATTACTGCTTTTCGATTCGCACCTGAGTAATCTAGCGGATCAAGTGTCAGCGAGTCCAACATTATTATGTTCTCTTCTAAGCATAACCAACTTTTTTATCTGAATTGACTCAGTTTTCCCACAAATCTGAGATGAGTCTCTTCTTTTGACCTTTATACTTTGAAATATTATCGAAGAAAATGAATAATATAATATAAGAATATTTTAATCATCATCATATGTCAATATTTGTAAGGACAAATCCATCTCTGATAGTGTTATCTCCGATTTGCATGTTTCCACCATGTTACCTAATTGTTACGCTTGAAAATCCAACGACAACTTTCCATTTTTTTCCCCTCAAGTTTATTGCTATAGTCTTATGAGGACTTTGGACACATTTTTGTTCGTATGGCGAGTTTTTCATAAGTGGAGTTGTTCGTAAGTCGAGGTTCCGCTGTATTCAGCAATTCTAAATCCCTAATCTTTTATCCTTTCATTCTCCGGGATAGTTATATACCTTTAAGTTTTCCTTTCCTTGTATGCAATAGATTCGTTTAATCCAGGAGCCGGAATACGGTGATACATTATTTCAAATTTCTTAAATATTTTCTTTTCCTGCATTTCATTACAATTTACAGATGGATCTTAAATATTCTTAAACAGATCTTAAATGTTCTTAAATAGATCTTAAATATTCTTAAACAGATCTTAAATATTCTTAAACAGATCTTAAATATTCTTAAATAGATCTTGTTTCATTTGTCAATATCTCCTTTGACTGTCAAATTTGAAACAAATTATCATTGAAAATAAGAATTTACAGATTAGGAAATAGATCTTAAATATTCTTAAATAGATACATTATTTACATTATTCGGACTATTGTCTTCATCTTTGTCGCCATATTTATTACAACGTTTAGGCCGTTGTACGCTCCGGCCTTCTTCAGGTAGTTGGAATGTCGTACTGAACCCTTTTAATTCGCTCACTGGTGTAGACTGTTCTAGTTCCACGTGCCACGTCTAATGGATGTCAGTTATCAGTTATCTCCTGTTACTTTCCCTCTGAAAGTTCTCCACTGCCTTTACCAGGTATTGAACTCACACTCTTTGGGTCCTGTCACTGGATCTAACTAAAGACTTTATGGTACAGTGGATAAAGTATCTGGTGATAGTTACTTTTCTCGCATTTCTCGCTTGTGGAAAGATCGACTGTTTCATTTGTCAATATCTCATTTGACTGTCAAATTTGAAATAAATTATCATTGAAAATAAGACTTTACGGATTAAAAGATAGACCTTAAATATTCTTAAATAGATCTTCTGTTTCCTTTTTCAATATCTCCTTTGACTGTCAAAGTTTCCATGCCTTCTTTCCACATTACGTGTCCCAGAAATTTCAGTTGTCTCTTTCTGATTGTAAGTATACGTTTTCATGTTTTTGCTCTTTTCCTTAAGATTTACTCGTTATTCACATGTTCTGTCAATGGTATTCTCAACATCCGTCGTATATCAATATCGCTGTTGCTTCTTCATTGACCAACATTAACTATCATAGGGGAAATTAGATATTATATACCAGGAGGGGGTACAGTGGAGCAATTGATAGAGGCTAGTATTGAGGAATCGTTCGAATTCCAGCGAATCCATTACATTCACTTACGTACTAATACCCTTGGGAAAGGTGTGAATACTTTCCTTTTCCCCCAGCTATGGGTAAATAGCAGGACAGACCGGGTTCTATAGACTTGTATGGCAAATGGTCTACCGCAAAAAGAAATAGGAACCTAGTGCTGGAAAAAAACCTGCCTCGTCAGTCATGTATCAAAAGATACATGATCGCCTAAGTGTGTATCACGCATGGCACATAACTGAAGTGATATTCATTTATGTGCTAATACCCTTAGAAAGGTATGAATCCTCTTCTTCTCCCCCAGCTATCGGTAAATAGCATGACAGACTAAATTCTAAAGCTTTGGATGAAAATTGGTCTAACGCAGAAAGAAATGGCAACCTACCGCGGGAAAAAATCTGCCTCGTCACTCAAAGGAAAGATATGTGATCGCCTAAGCGTTTATCACGCATAGAACATAATTGACTGACTGACTTTCCAGTCGAATCCATTACATTGACTTATGTATTAATAACCTTGGAAAAGGTAAGAATACTTTCTTCTTCCCCTAGGTATGGCTAAGTACCAGGACAGACCGTGTTCTATAGCCTTGGTTAGCATCTGGTCTACCACAGAAAGAAATGGCAACCTACTGCGGGAAAAAATCTGCTTTATCAGTCATGTATCGAAAGATACATGATCGCCTAAGCGTATATCACGCATGGCACATAACAGACTAGGAAAAAGAAACAAGGGGGAGGGAGGGAGTTCTGTGAGAATGTTAATCATTTAAAAAGAGAGAAAACGAGAAAGAAATAGGGAAATATATGTGTGACTATTTGATAATTTAAAAAGAAGGAAGAAAAGAAAGAACAAAGAATCTGACATAGGTAAGGGAAATCGTTTCCTAAGTGTGAAATGGTTGGTGGCTCGGATTGAGGAATCGGAGGGCCGAGTTCGAATTCCAGCCGAATCCATTACATTCACTTACGTGGTAATACCCTTGGGAAAGGCAGGAATCTTCTTTTCTTTTCTACAGAACCGAGTTCTATAGCCTTGGATGGCAACTGGTCTTCCGTAAAACGAAATGGCACGGTGGGGTAATAGATAGCTACTCGGATTGAGGAATCGGAGAGCCGAGTTCGAATTCCAGTCAAATCCATTACATTCACTTACGTGCTAATACCGTTGGGAAAGGTATGAATCCTCTGTTCACACCCCCCCATCCCCAGCTATGAGTAAATAGCAGGACAGACCGGATTCTTTAACTTTGGATGGCAACTGGCCTACCGCAGAAAGAAATGGCAACCTACTGCGGAAAAAATATCTGACTCGTCAGTCATGTATCGTTTATCAGGTATGGCACATAACTGACTGATAGCAGTTCACTGTGCCTTTCTTTCTTTTAAGCTAAATTCCCCTATTTATTAATACTTTGCTTAGTTTTCTAGAATATATTCTGATATATTTTCGGATGTCTGCGATGAATTTTCCGTCATCTCTTTAGGCATGACACAAATGGTTAAATTTATGAATCCACTTTCATTTTAAATATATTTGAAGTTCTTTTGTAATATGTTACACGCCACTACAAGCAATATTATATGCCGGCTTCGGATTTCTCTCTCTCTCTCTCTCTCTCTCTCTCTCTCTCTCTCTCTCTCTCTCTCTCTCTCTCACTGCCTCTCTCCCTCTCTCTCCCTCTCCCTCTCCTCTCTCTATCTTTTTCTCTCCCTCCCCCCTCCCTCCCCTCTCTCCCTCCCCCTCTCCCTCTCTCTTTGCCTCTCTCCTTCCCCTCTCTTTCTGACTCTCTCTGCTCTCTCCCTCTCTCTCTCTGCCTCTCTCTCCTTCCCCATCTCTCTCTCTGCCTCTCTCCCTCCCCTCTTCTCTCTTTGCCCCCTCTCCCCTCTCTCTCTGTCTGCCTCTCTCTCCCTCCCCCTCTCTTCCTCTCCCCCTCTCTCTCTCTCTCTCGTTCTCTCTCTCTCTCTCTTATCGATAAATCACATGTCACTATTAATCAACGTTGATAATATTTTACTCCATCAAAATTGAATATCAACACCGAACGGCCTGCCTAGTCTCTGCTCATCTCTCTACCCTACTGGGAAATCTATACAAGATCTTATATTCCCTGATATTCGATAGCAAATACTGTCAGAAAGCTAAATGCAACCCTCTATGTATAGGTCTCAGCTAAATCTCTCTTCTTAAAATAGTCTAATTCCCTTTTTATTACCTGTGATTATGACTCATGTTTCAAGAGTCTTCAGCAAAATGGTTTCCATGCTAATTCTTCTACATTTATTTTTCTTTTCTTGAATCGTCCAGGATTTTTTTTTTTTTGCCGTTAGTTACTTTTTACTTTGCTGTTACGTGTTAAACCATTTTCCATTGCTGTGCTTGTGTGTGTGTGTGTTTTTTTTATATTTTTTTATATTTTATTTTATTTCTTTTTCTGGCTATCAATCTTGGTCTTCTCCTCCTTTAGTCTCTTTTAAAGTTAATATACGGTCTGTTTAACCTATCAACAGGCGCGGGGGCGGGGGATCTGAATTACCGTCCCCTGGCGATGACTTTGCATAACGAAAAAACGTATTCGTTTCGCTCCCGTAAAATTTGTGTACTTAACTACAGACACTGAAGTTTTCTTTCACCTCTTCTCATTTCATTTAATTTCCCCTTTTGTAAAATGACTGATCAATATATTTGTTAATATTTCTTAGTTCAAATTACCGTACTTGACGGCATATAAGACGTATGAGTGTATAAGAATTTCAGCAGAGTAAATCAAGAAAAAATTAGTAATTAGTGAAATTAGTATAATTATTAGTAAATAGTACAGCCTAGGCTATATTTTTGATATATTATTTTGGTTAAACCAGCCATCATTACAATTAAACGAAAAATAAAATTAAAAAAGTACACGAGCCTATAAAAACTTTATTATATCATTTATATGATCTGAACAACCTGCCTCTTGTAAACGTCTTATTGGAATAATTAGGATCTAAAAATTCTGATTGTATTTATACTAATGTAACCGGATGTTATCGTAAGAAAAATATTAATGAAACAAATACATATATATATATAATTTGAATTTATTGCATATAATTTTAGGACAAACAAAGTACTAATATTAAACGTGATGAAATTAATATAATGAATATTACCAATGATAATACTGTTAATCTGCATAATAGGATTTTAAATAATGACAATAGGTATATAAAAGTTACTCTAATGTCTAAGTTAATAGTTGCTAGGTGGCTAATTTCGGTCGACTATCGCGTATGTTTTGATAAGAACAACAAATATGTGGATAATACTCCGAATACAAATAGTGCAAATATTTATCCATTATTTCGCATACATTTAGCTTCATCCGATAATCTGTTAAAACAGCGATATCAATTCTTTTGGATATCTTTTTATTCGCCTAAAATGACAAAATCTTACCTCCATGTCTGGATTTCAGTGAACAAAAGATTTCTCATTTTCTATTTCTGAGAAAAAACTTTTTGTTATTTGCATATGACATTAGTTCACTTGGTTGAATCCTATTGTTTGCACAGTTCCCACTGAGCCGCCGTTCGCTCCCTGTGGTGGCTATTTTCATATTCTTTTGTGTTAATTTCAATATTCATTTATACTATAACGACTTTCATTTGTCATTCAGTGGCAAAATTATTATTCTGAATTGTCTGTTCTATCATTATAATGAACTTAACAACATAAGATACTCAGATATCACAGTACTGATAAAAGACAGGGAAAAGAAATTACAAAATCTCCTACAGAAGGTAGTGAAGGAGAGCGAGAAGAAGGGACTAAGCAAAAACTACAAGAAGACAGAATGCATGGTCATAAGTAAAAAGATGAGCCCGAAATGCGGTTTATAGGTCGGGGACACTAAAATCAAGCAGGGGTGGAAGTTTAAATATCTGGGAAGTGTTTTGACAGAGAACGGTAAGTGCGACACTGAGATCCGTAGACGTATTGGGATGGCCAAGGACACATTTCAAAAGCTGGGCAGAGTATTTCGAGACAGGAGGATTTTTTTGGTAACAAAGAAAAGAATACTGAACTGTTACGTGACATCTGTCCTCCTTTACGGCAGCGAATGTTGGACGGTCTCCTCAAAGATGAAGACGAGGCGACGGAGATGTGGTTCTACAGAAGGATGCTAAGGATATCATGGACCGAGCGTGTGAGCAACAATGGTCTTGGAGAGGATGCAAGCAAAGAGGTGGCTTATACTTAACATCAGGAAGAAAGAGCTGAAGTTTCTGGGACAGCAATGAATGAGAAATGAAGGCTTGGAGAATCTGATACTCACAGGTCGAATAGAAGGGAAGAGAGACAAGAGAAAGCAACGCATGACATACCTGGCGGCCTTAAGCAAGTGAATTACAAAATGTGATCTGGAGGAGGTGGCAGAGGCATGAAACTTACTGACAGTAGAAGGGATAGGGGAAATGGAGAGCCATGATCGCCTACGTCCTGAAAGGACACGGCACATAAAAAATAAAAAAATAAATGATTATTATGCGATACGGTTCTGAGTATTATTTATATGCATTTTGTATATCGGCAGATGTTTTGTGGCTATTACAGAAGACTAAATATATATATATATATATATATATATATATATATATATATATATATATATATATATATATATATATATCTTCATATATCCAGTACCTTTCTTAATACCATCTCATTTCCACGTTTTCCTACCTTCTGTTTAAATTCGCTGTCTTTTCGTATATACCTATCAATCTATGTATGTATGTAAGTCTGTTCATATCTATTTATATATCTATCTATGTCAGTCTATTTAAGTCTGTTCATTTTTAACTATGGATCTCCCCATTTTCCTAACTATCGATCTATTGATCTGTGTTGTGGTTGAACAGAAAAACCGCCCTCGTTACCCAGCCTGCAGTGACAGATTGCTTTCATGCAACCTACTCGTTTTGTATTATTTCGGACGATTTTGAAAGAGTTACGCATCAAAAACACTCTCCCTTGTTTACACTGCCTCACAAATCCCAACAAATAAAATGGATCCGATTTCGCATGGAGCTCGACAAATTTCTTATATATATACAGCACCTTTCTCAATATCCTCTCATTTTCCACGTTTTTCCTACCCCGGATAAAGTCCTGGTCTTTCCACTATGCATCTTATTTGGAAAAAATCATACACTGGCTGTTGCAACAAAAGAAATTCGTCCAACACATCTCACATGGGTTCATATATGGCTTCTGAGCCAAGACACTGAGCGCCTCAGCAATACCTCGCGATATCACCGGCTTTTTTTTTTTGATTCTGTGTTACAATAATAGAGCATGAAGTACGAGCAGACGTAATGTCTGTCCGAATCTTGAAGCGTATTTTTTTTATATCGACCCGAGATAAATCTGTACCAATTCTTTGGCATGAACCTTGAGGAATTGATGTTACTTTTAATTTTTCCTTTTTATTTCTTTGACAGTGTAGGTTATAAAACATGTATTTTCTTTTTAGATACTTCTCAGACTCCTGAGACATTCTAGGCCACCACACCAATTCCTCTCTCTCTCTCTCTCTCTCTCTCTCTCTCTCTCTCTCTCTCTCTCTCTCTCTCTCTCAGCATTTGTTTGGTACCAAGTGACTATTATGTCTTTAGTGTCTTTAATATCCCTACGTTTTTCAGGTATAATAATTCCGTTCTGAAACCATAGTAATGTGTCATGGAATGACACTTCATTCTAACTAGGTAAATATGAGTTTATGCCTTCTTTTATCTTTCTTCTTCGTGTGTTCATCCATTTAATGTGAAATGTATTATCTCCTGATATAATACATTTCAAAATGCTAATTGTTCAGTCATAATAATGAATCCCATATATTTCCCGTATGTAAATGGGTCATATTATCATTGCTATGACCAGTATCTCTCTCTCTCTCTCTCTCTCTCTCTCGCTCTTAGCATTAGTTTAGTACCAAGTGACCATTATGAAATGTCCTTAATATCTCTTTTTCAGGTATAATAATTCTGTCCTGAAACCATAGTAAACTGTCATGTACTGACACTTCATTCTGACTAGGTAAATACGAGTTTATGCCTTCTTTTGTCATTCTTTTTCATGTGTTCATTCAGTTAATGTGAAATGTATTATGCCCTGTACTACTGTGTCTTGTTTGGTTGCTATTTGTATTTCATTTAATTTCTTATGCAGTGCTGGTCTGGTTCTTGTCACACAGTCTATGCATACTCCAACTTCTATGCTAGTATTATTATCAGCGTCAGATAAAGGACTTCTTCATAGTGTATCTTGTATGACTAGTACTTTCTCTAATCTTATCAGAAGCCTTTGACATCATAGCGTGGGTATTGTACAGATCATGAGCTTTTATTAACAGCATAAGTGGTTTTAAATTTAATAGGAATTCCCTAATGCCAGAAGTAATTTGCCTATTTCCTTATAAAACGATCGCTTGATATTGCATCATTCTTTGCTATTATTATATACCTCAATAAATAATCTACTGCAAAAATATATTGGTAACCCTGCTGAGAGAAAATACTTTGCCATGGACCTTAAGGAATTGCTGTTACTTTTAATTTTTCCTTTTTATTTCTGTCACTGTTCAGGTTAGAAAACCCGTCGCATCTCTCTGTCTTTTCTACAAATACTTTCATGGTAATTGCTCCGATGAGCTGCTTTCACTGGTTCCCAGACTCCATGAATTCAAGCGCCCTACGAGGCTGGCATCCCGCTCCCACCCTTACACTGTAGAAACTTTTAAATGTAGCCGTCTCTTCTACTCCAATAGCTTCATACCTCGCACCTCTCGCCTGTGGAACACCCTTCCCAATTACTGTTTCCCTGAGAGTTATAATCTCCAACTATTCAAATGTAATGTCAATCGACATCTCCAGTTACCTTGATCTACCCATTATCCCTCTCCTCATCCTTTCTTCTCTCACTCCTATCTGCTCTTGCTCCAAATCTTCTGCAACCCCCTGCATCCTAGTGGCTTCACGCCTTGCTCGGGGCGTAATGCTTAAAAAAAAAAAAATACTCTTCCAACTCCTGAAAATATTCTAGGCCACCATACCAATTTTTTACTCACTCTTTCTCTCTCTCTCTCTTTCTCTCTCTCTCTCTCACTCTCTCTTGCTCTCTCGGCATTTGTTTAGTACCACGTGACCATTCTAAAGTGACCTTAATATATCTGTTCTAAGTTTTTAAGGTATAATAAGTCCGTCCTGAAACCATAGTAAACTACCAAAGAGTGACAATTCATTCTGATTCGCTTTAAAGAAACCAAAATAAAGATTATTACCTGGTAACATAAACCACACTGGTTGAAAACTCCCAAAAGTATTTCAATTTAAGAGATCAGCCGATCCCGCTACTATTTTCCGCAATATTTCGCACTGAATTAAGAGGGTTAAACATGAATTAAGTCATGTTGAAATATAAATATGAATAGTGTGAACTAAATAAACTTTCCATATTTAGAGTTCTACTTGGGTATTGAGCATTGTTTTTTAAAAGTAAAACAAAAATACTAAAGAACTTCGGATTATTAACCTAACGGTCCTTTCCTATTTTCTATATATTTACACACACACAAACGCACGCACACACAAACGCACGCACACACAAACGCACGCACACACAAACGCGCACACACACACAAACACACACACATACACACACAAACGCACGCACACACACACATACGCACGCACGCACACACACACACACACACACACACACACACACACACACACACACACGCACACACACGCGCACACACACACACACGCACACACCGTGTGGAAACGACTCATTGTGGTATGGTGGTTTAGCGATGTGAACAGGAAAAGGAGTCAAAGAAAAAATTTTGGCCAAAATTCTAACTTGTTTCCAATACTTCCCCTGCAACACAATCGGCATTCGTTTCTTATGCTTGAGAATGATGCCAAGTTATAGTTCTTGGATGACATTCAATAACTGGTGGGGCGAGAAGTTCTGATGAATTTCCTGAAAAAGTTTTGCCACAAAGAATAGCAGGTTTGGGCCCCAGAGGACGAAATTCCATCGGAAAGTTTGATTTAAATTTACAGCGTGGTTCTTGGCCATTCTTCAAGCGACTAAGTTGTTGGAGTGTGTTTCAGCTGTACCAATTGTTACTACCAATTGTTAGGATAACTCTTAATATAGAGTGGGCATACTGAGAAGCCCTTATGTGACATGTTCCTCTCTTGGGTAGGGCTAAATAAATATGCCCCTGTATAGGGGTTTTGAGCATTCATTCGTGTAATGGGAGACATTCGAAGGACACTGTGAATACCTCCATAAAGACAAACGTATTTCCTTTTTTTCCTTTTTATCTACCGTTGTCTGATTATATATATATATATATATATATATATATATATGTGTGTGTGTGTGTGTGTGTGTGTGTGTGTGTGTATACATATATATGCACATTTCATTGAAAACGACAGACAAGCTGCTTTTATTTAGTTTTTTTATACAATTTCTCATGCGATCTAATAAAAAACTCAATAAAAGCACCTTGTCTGTCGTTTTCAATGAAATGTGCAAAAAAGTATTGCTACCTAAATACACAAATATATATATATATATATATATATATATATATATATATATATATATATATAGAGAGAGAGAGAGAGAGATGTGTGTATGTATGTGCGTCTGCGTGTATAATTCTGTTTAAACCTATCATTCGCTGTCTTTTCGTATATACCTATCAATCCACGTATGTATGTAATTCTGTTCATATCTATTTATATATCTATCTATGTCAGTCTATTTAAGTCTGTTCTTTTTTAACTATTTATCTCCCCATTTTCCTAACTATCGATCTATTGATCTGTGTCAATTTGTTGATACGATTGACGTGTGATATCCCAAACTTCCAAGTCCTTACGTGTTGTGGTTGAACAGAAAAACCGCCCTCGTTACCCAGCCTGCAGTGACTGACTGCTTTCATGCAACCTACTCGTTTTGTATTATTTCGGACGATTTTGAAAGAGTTACGCATCAAAGACACTCTGCCTTGTTTACACTGCCTCACAAATCCCAACAAATTAAATGGATCAGATTTCGCATGGAGCTCGACAAATTTCTTCGCTAGACACTCAAGGTGCCTTGGAAGGCTTCGACGAACATACTTAAGGTCGAGAACATGTTTCGAGAGTGTCACACCTGTTTCAAGACCAGTCGAAAACCGTGCCCCTGATCGCCAAATGCGAGATGTGGACGCAGTAAGTAAACAAATGCACGTAAACCATAGCCGAAAAATATATATTATTTAGCGGAGTAATTTTATACTGGGTTTTAAGTTATACCGGAACCTTGCGAGACCACTTTCTATCTATCTATCTATCTATTTATCTATCTATCTATCTATCTATCAGTTTTTTCGAACCATCTGTTTATCCCGGTTAATTTATGTCGATATCAGTTTATTCAAAAGCTATATATATATATATATATATATATATATATATATATATATATATATATATATATATATATATTAGTGGTAAATATACACATACATATGCAAAATATATGAATATATATATATTGGTGCATACACATACATGTATATTTTTTGAATAAAAAATTCCAAGAGGATAGAATCCAGGTAGAACTCAATGTCCAGGACAGACTAAGGCTATAATAAAAAGTTTTAAACACTAATATTCCATGATCATAATTTATTCCATTGGAATCGTAAATACGATCCAATTCATCAGACCTTTTTGAATTTGTAGATCTGAGGAATTGAATCGTATTTACGATTCCAATGGAATGAATTATGACCATGGAATATTATGTTTAATATTTTATATATATATATATATATATATATATATATTATTTTATTTTCAACATTATCACTTGATAAGACACAGAGTGTGTTGAAACAAAATGGCTATTTTTGTAGTGATTTTATAACATACTTATGTCATAATTTTTTAAAAAATAATTATATATATATATGTGTGTGTGTGTGTGTGTGTGTGTGTGTGTGTGTGCGTGTGTGTGCGTGCGTATTTGTGTGTGTGTATTGATGTAATAGGAAAGAACAGTTAGATTAATGATCCAAAGTTATTTAGTATTTTTAATTTATAAAAAAACAGTGTTCGATACAGAAGTAGAGCTTAAATTATAATTATTTTTTCTTAAATTCCATCTCGACACAGAAATTACTATGAATACATTGAATAAAAAATGCCGCATAAATTCCGTCATATACTAATGCACAATCTCATTCACTGAGAATCCAAATATGGAAAACACACACACACACACACACACACACACACACATATATATATATATATATATATATATATATATATATATATATATAATCAACTAGAAAGGAATTTAAAATGATGTGGAGACAACACCAAAGTTCCTTCAATAATATTAAAAACTAAAACAAAACATCCCTATCCGAATATTTTTGGCAATTAAACGAAACAAATAAAACACCTACAAGATAAACTTAGCATTACCAAGCTTCTAAAAACAAAATTTTATTAAATCAAAGAAATGAAATAACGGTTTTTGCAGACACAAACCAAATATACGCCTTTAAACAACTAGTAATTTATAAATGGATGGAAAGAATTCCAGAATAACATATATAAATAATTACACAATACCATATAAAATCTATTATCAAATTAAATAAATGTCAGACATGTATAAAACTATAGAATCAAAATACAACCCAATCATAACTAAGCAACCCTTTAAGAAACCATCAACAAAAAAAAGATATAAATTATTACCAAAAAGATTGTAACTAGAACATCAGTCAGTAAGTTTAACAAATAGTAATAATAACATCAGAGCCTGGGGAAAAGGCCATTGTAGCCAGCCAACCTTACACGACTCCAAAAATTTGACATATAATAAATATTCATACTTTCACCACTGTAATGACCCCTTGATAACGAAAGAAAAACCACACTTACACCTCCATTTCCAAACTATGTATGAGTAAGGCATTTATTTAGTGAGTTATTCCTAAGACATCGCTTCAGAATAAAACTGTACTCGAGATTTTAAGTTTAATATTGATTGCTCTGTTCACTCTTCAGGAACTGTCAGAAATTGACAGCTTATTTTCTCATTTTCGTTATTTTTATATTTATTAAAAAATAATTTATGCCAATTTATCAGCGTAATTTGGGACTCATCAGCAGTGTGCATCCACTACCGAAAATTGAAAGTCGGACAAACGTCATACCAACTGTGCCAGCGGGCCTCGGTGAAGAAGAGGTAGAGAATTAGACTCGATATAGCGCCGCTCGATCACATATTCTGAGTTTCTCTTTTACCCATAGGACTGTGCCGCCACGATATATATATATATATATATATATATATATATATATATATATAGAGAGAGAGAGAGAGAGAGAGGGGGGGGAGAGAACGTTATTCATATTTTTTTACCTGTCGAGATCTCTATATATTAGTTTATTTATTAGTTTATTATATTTATCAATGTGTATATCCATATTTATTAGTTTATACCTATATAACTATGTCAGTTTATTCATAACTATCTATCTATCAATCGTCCTGCGTATGGCAAATGACCCATAATATGTTGACATGCCGCTAAACAAACAATCTATATATCGATCGATCTATATATCATCATATGATCGATCTAACTATCTCAGTCTCTTCTGTATCTAACTTTCTGTCTATTTATCCATCTATTTATCTAACCTCTCTATTCGTATCTATCTATCTATCTATCTATCTATCTATCAATCTCAGTCTGATTCATATCTATCTATCTATCTATCTATCTATCTATCTTCAAACTTCCCTACCTATCAATGATTGTTCTGTTGTCCTTTCACTGATTCACAAGCATATAAAAAGTAATCGTGTTGTTATATTCTGGATATATAAACAGTTTTTTTTTGTGTTCAACGTATCTTATAAGATTTTGTCGCCATGATCAAGTTTCCGAAAATATTAATCATTGTTTTACTTATTAAACTCTTTGCCTGCCATAAACGAATCTGCAATATCCCTCGTTCGATTCATCGTCTTAAAAGATAATAACCTCGATACAAGAAAACATCCTGACAGACAACAGGAAGTGAAGCAGGTGTATTATGTTTGTCTAATTCTTCTATTCCCTATTCTGGAAAAGTATAAGAAAAGTTCCAGTCTTTCTTTCTTCTACGGTTTATGAGAAATCCTTAGTTTGAACAAACAGGCATTCTCTTAAATGAAGGGATCAAATGAATTGAGACTTCCACTGATTTCCCGATGGTCGAAACTTCCCAATCTCTTAGTGGACAAATCCCAATTGTCAATGAAAAGAAGATGTTGTTACTGCGGTGGAAAATACAAATCGTAAGAATGTCGAGAAAGTGAGAGAGAATTTCAGACATAAAGGGAAAGGAAGCAATAAAGAAAAGATAGAGAAAAGAGGGAAATAAAAAAAAAATAGAAGATAAAAGATCCATTGGAAACAAAGAAAGAGAGAAATAAAAGAAGTGGGGAAGGGAGCATGCGTGAGAAAAGGAAATGGCGCGAAAAGAGAGACTGGCGGGAAAGTGATAGAAGACGTTCAGAGAGAGATCATAAAAAAATCAGAGTGAAAAAATTTAGATAAATAAAATGGAAATAGAAAGAGATACTAAGAGAGAGAGAGTGGGGAGAGAGAAAGAAAATATAGATATAAGGAACGAGCGTTAGAGAGAAACATTACATAAGAAAGTGAAAGAGAAAGAGAGAAAAATGAGTGAGAGAAGTACAGATAACACACGTAAAAACAGAGTGAGATAGAAAAGTATGAGAGAAAAGAAAGAGGAAAAGAAAACAAGAAAATAATGAGAGAGAGAGAGAGAGTGAGAGAGAGAGAAATGGAGATTTAAAAAGTAAATCAAGTAATTGACTTTCTATGATTTTCGAAGTTAGAATTACATATACTAATGTTAATCTATTGCTTAGGATGATCCCCTCTGAGGTTTAGCGATTCGATCTTAATTTTAAATGTTTTTAATCATAATGTTGCTACCAAAGAAAGTATATGAGCAGATTTATAGATTCGAATAAAAGGAAAAAGCGAGAGAAAGAGAGAGAAAAAAAAACAAAGGGAGAAATGTAGTTTCTTTTAAATCATTTTACCTGAAGCAAGGTAATAAAGTCACTAAGATACAAGGGGTTTACTGAGTATAAGAAAAAATGAAATATAAAAAAAAAAACGCAGTTCATTTCAGATACTTCTTTGGATTTTATCAAGAATCTTTTAATATAGAGCAGGAAAACACGATCAGACGTGGCAGTAATATTCTAAACACGGACGAATAGGGGACTTATAAATATACACGGTGGATTCTGGAGACAAATATTGTCAATGAAAAACGTGTTAAGGTTAAGAGATAAAAACTTAAACTGACATACATATATATATATATATATATATATATATATATATATATATATAGTTAAATTCCTAGATCAATTCTGTGGACAAGACAGATTGGTATAAAATGACAATTGGAAAAAATCTTAGATTTTGCCGACGCGTTTCGTATACCGACTTTTTCAACGCAAAAATGAAATCGCAATGTTTTTTTGTTATAGTTACATTAAACAATCCAAATTTAAAAAGATAGACGCTTCTGCCTAAGACTTTTTATATATATATATATATATATATATATATATATATGTGTGTGTGTGTGTGTGTGTGTATAATATATATATATATATATATATATATATATATATATATATATATATATATATGGAATTTTCATATATATTATATATGAGCTGTACTTATTGGAAAGCGCTCAATATCAGTGATAGTGCTAACATATTTAGTTGGATTCATGTGAGATTGCGGCCTTGGGATTCACGCTCTTTGCAATCGTAAGACAAAATCTGACGGTGACTAAGAACGTGAAAACTAACGCCACAAGCTCGCATTAATCATATATATATATATATATATATATATATATATATATATATATATATATATATATATATATATATATATATGGAAGAGGTTGTAGTATTTCCCACGAGAGAAAAAAGTGATTATTAAAAATAAGAGAGAAACTGGAAACGTTTTTGGTTGTAATGTGATTCTTTTTTTAAATATATTAGGCTTTATTTGCCATAATTTTACTACACGGGTTTCCGGTCTCGTGACATTCACCAGTTAAAGAGTGGATATTTCCACATCTTATAAGGAATTAATTTTTCTTATGTTTTTCGATGCTAAATATTCTCGATATTTGGCATTCTCTTTTTGGGGTGTATTAGTGATCCAAATGTCTTTCTTGAACTAGCAGTAAAAAAGTTCTGCGTGAAGGGTAATAAAACTGGTCCGAGAAAGGATAATAAAAATATCTATATTCTCATCTTTTAATGATCATTGAATGTTCTTAGATGTATTTCTATTTTTTTGTGTTTTTGTCAGCATCCGTATATTCCTGCTACATACATACATACATACATACATACATACTGTCTTATTATAAGGAATTAGTATACACATATGTACACATATACATACACATACACACACACACAGACACACGTACACTTCCGATGTGTGGCGTTGAGCAGTTTTTTGTCAATATGTGCACATATATACCAGTACGCACTTGTACACGCGTACTCCCTCTCTATACATATATACTGTCTTATTATAAAGAATTAGTATAGACACATACACACACATACACACATATACATACACACACAAACTTCCCATGTTGTATAGGGTTTGCGCAGTTTATTGTTTTTGTCAATATGCATATACATATTCGTGCTCCACACATACCCGCGTGTGAGCCTGTGCACATCAATGCGAGTAGTTTGAGCACTGTATTTGGCCATTATGTACATGTGTGTTTTTGCGTGTGGGGTCTTGATCTCTTTAGTGCTGTTGTATATTTGTTTATGATTATTTTCTTGTATTTGTAGGTAAGAATAATTGTTGGTTTGGTATATTGTTGTGATACAGAGAGTTTTCTTCTGTCTAGTAATTTTCCGCTGCTTTTGTGTAGGGAAACTCTGTTGTTTAATTGTTGGCTGATACCTATATATGACTTCTTGCATTTTGTGCATTTGAGTGCACAAATCACATTTATGGAGTTGCAGTTTAAATATTTATTTTTTATGAATATCGTTTTGGGGTTTTCAGAAGTGTAGGAGTTTCCTTCTATAATGATGTCACAAACCCTACATCTCTCTCTCTCTCTCTCTCTCTCTCTCTCTCTCTCTCTCTCTCTCTCTCTCTCTCTCTATATATATATATATATATATATATATATATATATATATATATATATATATAAAAGAACAAAATCATATAAATTCAAACGTTCATAACATTAATTTAAAAACGGCTCAATAGAAGAGTAGTGCAATAGATATTTATTATAAACTGTTACATTGGAACATGCAAGTTATCACAACAAAACTGCATGTCTATTTAACGCTTAAAGACGTCTCACCAGGTAATTAACAATGGTGGCAAATATCTATATAGACAATCGCATATCTCTCTACACTGATGAGCTGTGAAACAGCGAAACAGTCTCTCTGTGGATGATAATATGTATATACACGCACCTGAAAAAATTATTTTCGGTTGAACTCTTCGGGGAGAAAAGTGAATTTCTAAACAGGGACTATTACTGCTGTTGATGCAAGACTCTTTGTTAAGACGAATCGAGTTCTCCTGTCGCTGGCGCGTTTGTCTGAGAATAAATTCACCTTCACCAATGGCTTAGAGTAAAATCTCCGACTGATACCAAATCAGTTGTGTTTCGGTTTTAGTTAACCCCTAAAAGAGTTGATAAGCCGTCAAAAACAAATCAATCAACAAATTTTATTAATTGTTTTATGAAACACACGGTGTTCCCAACAAACGTAGTTACTCTTTAAATGATAATAAATGCAGTTTTTATTGTTTTGCAAACAAGTTAAAAGTAAGAAATATTAATATTTATTGACTTACAAAGAATATTAACGGTTTAAATTAAATATTAAATGAAATTCAATGCACAGAGGTGAAAAATTTTTTAAAAATTCAAGAAATTATAGTAAATCAAAAAAAGTCTGTAAGTCTGCGGGGGGGGGGACGCTCTATATAAGTTATCAAATTGGCGCCGAAATATAGCAAGTTAAAAACGCACACCAATGAAAAAAAATACCTTTCGATTAAAATCGTTTTTTACGGTTTCGTTTATGTTTTAGTTTAAATAACATTGACATCCGAAATGGAGAACATGAAAAAAAAAAAACACAAAGAATATCCGAATCGTAAACGGAATATCGCTTCCGTATTAATATAAAAGAAAAACACTGGTTGAAACAGAAATTAAACTGTTGGTATATCTTTACATAAAATTATCTATGATGTCTGTCCAGAATTTAGTCACACATTCCAAATTACCTACTTAGAGCAATAAAGCCTTAATCCATTTTAAGCACCATCTAAACTGAAAGTACTTATTGTTTATAAACGTAAAAAGATAAGTTATCTTAAGCAAATAATAAAGTTTACATCACTTGAGGATGGCCAACGAAAATATCGCTTACAACTAGAATACGAATATTGATATAATCAATAAGTTGAATTTCCACACTTCCTTCAAAGATTTGAAAGGGACTCGAATTAACAGGAGACTTGGGAAATCTAAAAAAATGTTTTAAATTCCCCACCAGCAGTAAATGAATGGAGAATGTTTCCTGTGTAGAAACGGTTCATCTCGCTATTACCTTTACGATCCATTCAACTTCAGCGGAAATGGTTGTTGTAAATGCAGAAGTCAGACTTTTGTTTAAGGAACAATGAACAAATAAACCAAAGTGAAAGATGCATTTATACGCCACAACCTCAATTTGCACTTTAATGTCTTCACTCCTTTCTTTCTCTGTTTATTGAAACCCTTTCTTTTTTCCCTACTTTAATTTGATTTCTAATACCAATGCCAACTTTAACTTCTCAGCTCTGAGTGCATATATCGATCGACCCCCTTACATGCACCCGGTAGTTTCCAGAGAATCCGCCATAGTCAAGATTTCAGTCAAAAGGAAATTCAGTCAGATTGAAGGACAAGAAATAGCATATAAGGATTTTACAAGAGCAAAATGTTATTCTGGTCAGTGCACCAAAAGGTATCTAGAACAGGCTATCGGAATTTATCCCAAGCAAATTGTTTTAAAGTATCGAAGCATCTGAAAATGTGTTAAATAGAGTGCCGAAGAACTAAAAGACTATGCTACCTTTTTAGAAAAAGAAATTATATGTCTACTAATGAAAACGTTTAAGTGTATAAAAATAAAACTTTAAAAACTTATCTCTATCTATAAAAGGCAGAATGTGTGTGTGTAACGAATGCACGGCCGCAATTTTCGACGGATTTGCACCAAAATTTACATGCACATGCTCTAAGTTAGCGGGAAGGCCAAGACCGACTTTGCATTTCCCAACTCTCATTGATAGTGGAAATAATCAATTTTTTTCATGCTTCTACGGCGGTTTTCATGTAGTTTGCGGCCATTTTGTACTGGCCAGAGTGATAGCCAAAATAATGAATAGGCAGGAAGATTCTATTGGCCAGCGTGAGAGCCAACTGCTGACTGACACGAATGTTAACTAGCATGCTAGCATGCAAAGAAAATCGATAGCTGTATTCGTCACAAGTAGGTAAAATTTAAATCTGCATGGCACTTTACTCCAATTGGCTCATTCGCTTGCTTAAACTCAACGTTGATTCTGATTCCGCAGAACTGGGTTGGAGGTGAAAAAGTATTCGTTGTTAACATTCTTTTTTCATTTGGTTTTTCCAGTTACGAGTCCTTTTTTAAAGCTGATCGTTTTGTATTCATTTTGCTTCGTTCTTTTTTCGTAACAGATTTAATGTTTAGA